GAAGATATGGAGGCAGTGACAGATTTTACTTTCTTGGGCTCCATGATCACTACAGATGGTGACAGCAGCCACGAAATTAAAAGACACCTGCTTCTTGGGAGGAAGGCGATGACAAACCTTGACAGCATCCTAAAAAGCAGAGACATCACCTTGCCAACAAAAGTCCGAATAGTCAAAGCTATGGTTTTTCCAGTAGCGATGTATGGAAGTGACAGCTGGACCATAAAGAAGGCTGAACGCCAAAGAATTGATGCTTTTGAATTGTGGTGCTGGAGGAGGCTCTTGAGAGTCCCCTGGACTGCAAGGAGAACAAACCTATCCGTTCTGAAGGAAATCAACCCTGAGTGCTCACTGGAAGGACAGATCCTGAAACTGAGGCTCCAATACTTTGGCCATTTCATGAGAAGACTCCTTGGAAAAGACCTTGATGTTAGGAAAGTGTGAAGGCAAGAGGAGAAGTGGATGACAGAGGATGAGATGGTTGGACAATGTCATCGAAGCTACCAGATTGAATTTGACACAACTCCGGGAGGCAGTGGAAGATAGGAGAGCCTGGCGTGCTCTGGTCCATGGGGTCACGAAGAGTCAGACACGGCTAAACGACTAAACAACGACTCTAACTGCAGCTTGACCAAACTCCGGGAGGCAGAGGAAGACAGGAGGCCTTGGCATGCTCTGGTCCATGGGGTCATGAAAGAGGAGTCAGACACGATTTAACGACTAAACAACAACAACAACTGCAACTTACTTTAATACAGTATAAGTTGCAGTTTGAATAGGCCCATTTAGATCAATGGAATTTATGGAGGAGGTGACTCGCTGATTCATCTGTGATTTACTACACCAAGCAACGGGATTTTGGCCCATGTCTTACATGTATGAGTCCTGATTATCAGAAGAAATGTCATTATGACGTCAATGATTATTGCATTTAGTCAAAGGCCGCTATATGGAATGTCTTTTCCTCTGTGAAGGTATTTGGCATTTCATATCCTCTGAGGAAGCCCTCCTCCAGATTCTAGATCAAGATACTGTATTAGGGCTTTATTTTTCTATTGATCTTCTATTTATCGTTTTAGTGGTTCATTATAATTGTATTAACTGTTGTGATATGTTGATGCACATATTAACATACAACTATTTTTAATCCATGTTTTTAAAAAGTGCTTGTGAAACTTTTAAACTCTTAACTTGGGGAGGGGGAGAAGAACCCTTTTCGTGCTAGAAGACAAAAGCACATAACTCTCAATTATAAGAAATCCACCCAAAACGTTGCTGTTAGAAACTTCCTGGGTTGTAGCAGGGTGTGAAATGAAAACAGCCAAGAGTCTGGGGGCACATCTGAAGGGCTAACCTGTTTTATCTGGCAGTGGCACCATGTTTCATGACCACTGCATCTCACGAAGTGGGCTGCAGATCACCAAAGGTGATGTGGCATGGCACTTTTTCGCCTTTAAGGTGCGGTAAGGCTCTTAAACTGATAAGATTTGCAGAAAGAGGACCAACCCCCCCCCCGAACATTAAGTAGCAGCGCAGCCTGGTCCTCCTCCTCCTCCTCCCGGAATAGCCACAGTTGTGCTTTCTGCTACGCCCTCCACCCGCGCATCCTGCCTTACCCAGCTCACCACAACCACACCCGAAACCCCACTGCCTGCCACACACCTGCGCTGACGCGCGCGTAACGCACTCCCACTGCTCTTTCTCACGCGAACACGGCTCGCCGTGCGCCCTAACGCAAGGCCTGGGTAGAAAGAAGCACCCCCCCCACACACACACTCTCTCTCTCTCTCCAAAAACACACTCTCAGAGGAGAGAAAAGCATAGGGCCGGGAAGGCGTTCCTGACACGGAACAGCCCTTCATGGGGTCCCCGGCCCAGCCTCGTCCTCTCCCCCCATCACTCTTGGCGAGCTGTGGCGGCGGGGGCCCCTCGGCTTTTCGCTTTCCCTTTCGAAGGCGAGGGAGGCGAGACGGGCCAGGCAGCGCCACGGCCTTTCCT